TAATCTCTTAGCTGCGATAAAGAAGCCTTGAGGATAAGTCGTGATCTCCACCAAGAATAATCTCTTAACTGCGATAAAGGAGCCTTGAGGATAAGTCATGATCTCCACAAGAATGATCTCTTAGCTGCTATAAAATAGCTCCAATCTAGTAGAAAAGAGAGGAATATCACGCCCCACCAGAGACATACAGAGGAGGAACCGACTACCGGAGATTACTATTTTTCTTTGATTCTCCATTCTCTCTCTCAAAGCTTGTATCTCCATTCTCCATACCTTTGAATCAATAAAATACCCGGCAACTGAAGCCATTGAAGAGTGGACGTAGGTCGAATTGACCGAACCACTATAAATTGTCTTCTTTAATTCTTTCATTGATTTCATTGCATTTATTATCTACACTTGACGGGTGGTGTGCAAAACCATTTTTGTGCATCATCAAATGTTGGCATTACCAACTTCTACACCCTTGATGGTTACTGGTCTCGTTTCTTTATTTAACTGCTTCCCTGCATCAGTTGCCTAAGCACTATAATATAAAAAATAATTCTATCAATAATTTTTTTTTAAAAAAAATGACCAACCAGTTGCCACAAAAGATAGATCAGAAAATGTAAATGGAAAAAGTAAGATTTAAAAAATAAATACTAAACTCCAAGAACAAATTGGTGGTGGAATGACAAAAAACAGAATTACATGCTCTTGTTTAAAAGATCAAATTTTCTTTCTTCGTTTGTTTTTGTCTTACAAAATCACAAAGAGTGGCAGTTGATTATCATGGCAATCACTTGACCAAGCGTGGTTTCATCGTCGTAGCCGTAGCCGTAGCTGCTTGCCTGTTAAGGTGCAAATTTTCAGTACAAATGAATTCTGAACATGCCATAAGATTGATAAAAGTTTCAAATTTTAACTTAGAAATAGATTAACTTAGACCATCCAATATAATAAAACAGCCTGAAAAATAGATATGGACATAATTGCACATTAGTAGCATCTAAAGTTCACCAAACCAATAAATTAATTAAAATCTCAACAACATTGAAAAACAAATCTTTCTTAGAGATTGGTGGTGTTGGGAGGCGGTCGAGTTGTTCTGGAAACTTCACCGTTGAGAGAGAAGAAAACTCTTTTATAAAACATTTCAACAAACAACTTATATGTAGCATATAAACAGTTGAAATGCTAGACCCACACTTTCGATTCCAACACAGAGAGAGTGAAAGGAGCGTAGTAAGAGAGAAGAGGGAAAGAAAGGAGATTTGACAGAGTTGCCATCGTTGGCTTCGATTTTCTTTAGAGACCCATGATAGCGACAGCCAGTGTGGGTGTGTGAGAGAAAATATAAAAAAGAGAAAGAGAAGATGGGGA